AACCCTTCCCTTCTCTATACAAAACAAAATAAAAAAAGTTTTAGTTGATGTTGGATTTCAAATATACATTCAATATAAAAAACTTGATTTTATAAATATAACTGTCAGAAAACAATGGATTCTAGTCACTGGTTCTCTGTTCCAGCAACCAGTTCCATTGATGCTTCTTTCACTCTTGGCTGGGCTTGTTGCAGCCAAGTAAATATCCATGTCACATCCTGGCCAAAACATAAAATGAACATAATGTCAATAAAGCGGAACTTCACCCAAAAAGGGAGGTTCCACTCTCCCTCATCCCACCCCACACCATATTTGGAATATGGGAAGATGAGGGGGATGAGCAGGTACCTAATTTTTTGCAGGTACCAGCTTCCACTTCGGCTTGGATCATTCTAGGCAATCGAAGTGGAGTTGCCTTCTCTGCTGCCCAAAACCTTCTGGCGCATGTTACAGGTCCCAGGAGGCTGCAGGATCTTTCACAGGGTCCCGCATGGCCCACGCATATGCAATGAAGTTGCAAAGAGTCACAGCTGTCTTCCCACAGTTAACATACTAGCGCCCAAAGGGGACCCAAAGACTGGTGAGGAACCTGCCTGGGTGAGGACAGCACTGGACCCAGAACAGGTGAGTGTCCGTTTATTAGTCAACAGCTACAGTATAGTGTTTGCATGCTGACTTTTAATTTTTTGGAATCTGTTGGAAGCTCCTCTTTTAGCTGTAGATAGGAATACTTTTTTCATGGGGTCAAGGCTTGGGTAAAAAAGGTTCCTTTTTTCACTGTAGTATTTGGAAATTCTCTTTTGATTATTACAGTCATTCTGGTGGCTACTCTGATCTCTTTGCTCTTCTTACCCACATGGAAGAAAAATATATTTGAAATATATGTTAAAAATATTCTTCCCAAATATAATGCCATATATTTGAAATGCTACAATTTTGGCCATATTCAATATATATATATATATATATATATATATATATATATATATATATATATACACACACACACTGCACGCTGGAATGTGTTTTTATTACAAAATATATAAAAAATATTTTTTAAAATACATTTCAATATACTGTATGTCTTTAAAAATACAAATCTACTTTTTTTTGTAATGCATTTACAAATACATGTAAAAATGTACATTAAGATACAGTATTTTAAAAAAAATCTGAAGAATATACAGTATTTTAAAATATATTTTTTAAAAATATATTTTTAAATATATTCTTCAGATTTTTTTTTTTTACATATATAAAAAGTCATTTTAACATATATTTTTACATATATTTGTAAACACATTCCAAAAATGTAGCTATGTATTTTTAAAGAGGTGTATATATATTTATATTTATTGAAATATATTTTGAAATATATTGAATATGAATAAATAATTGAAAAATATTGAATATTTATTGAAATATAATTTGAAATATATTGAATATGGCCAAAATTGTAGCATTTCAAATATATGGCAATATATTTGGGAAGAATATTTTTAAAATATATTTCATAATATATTTTTCTTCCATATGGGTACATATGCCTCCTGTCCTGAGCTGTGCTCTAACTCGCAAATCTATTAACATGGAACTCTGGACTTATCTCTTATATTTCCAATTTACATTTTTACTGAACACCAGGAGTAGAGCTATCACTATACTCCAGGTGCACTGACAGAAGAGATACACTCTGCTACACAGCAGCAGCTCTGTTCAGCCCTTCTCTCAGCTGTCCATTCACAAAATACCTTGGGTTCATATAATACAAAGCATTCCGTGATTGGCCAAGAAGAGATGAGAGGCAGAAAGGCATAGTGGATACAAAAAACTCTGAAGCTGCTGTGTCCAGTGTCAGAGCACCAGAAATCTAGAAATAGCTATATTCCTGGTGCTCAGTAAATTGTAAATAAAAGAGATAGGAGATAAGTCGACAAGGTGGCATTAACCTTGTTGGGTTTAACCCATTATAAGCCAGTAGATGTTTAAAAGTGCTGCAATTACTAGCGTTCTTCTGGTCAAGATCGAACATTCCTTTAGAGACCCAACATTATTTGTCAATTACATTAATGATCCACACCACCTAAAAAAATATATATATATTACATTATATTATATGTTATTATGCTTGCATTGTTTACCTGACTATCATAGTCATTTAATTGGTAATCTATCGTAATCGTATTTTAAGGCAGGTTCCACATTATCAATATATACTGCTCATTTTCTACATATTCAATTATAAAATGACAATGGGTTTATTTCTTATCAGCCAGTAGATGGTGGCAGAGGACTTCTGATGAGTTCCTTTAATCATGAGGATAACAGAACTCCTCCAAAGTACATTAATGTCTATATTCTAGATACTCAGGTTGAACTTTAGAAAATATTGTCTTTAATAATCTCTAAAACGTGCATTTTGTAGCACACAAGAAGAACAAAACTGTTTTTGGTAAAGTGCAAATAAAGTTAAAAAAAATTTAAAAATTGTCACCATGCAAGCTGCTTATTACAGAGCAAACATGCATATCTCTTACGCAGAAAAATAAACTGGTTTGGACCGGTCAGGTTGAGGTCTTTTCTGCTCCCCCCATAATGGACTATCCATCTTTATTGGACCCATATGCAATTACATTCTGGACTCACCTGGGACACGGGATCATTAGACCAGGATTTTCAAGTTTTGCTACTTTAAAGTTCCTGTTCAGATTTATTCTATTCCCCTCCAAACACAGATACTGATGCTGAAAGGTATACTAAACCAGATGGTTCAATAGGAATGAGCTGGTAATGAAATGTTTGCTTTGCTGGGCCATCAGACGGTGGCCTAGTACATTTGAAGGGCTCCTCAGAGCAGGTATCCTTCTCATGAGCAAATGCTGAGAGTAATTCCAGGTTTGAAGATTTAAAAACACAAGCACTAATTGCTTTGGGCACATATCACTCCATTTACAACAGCAAATATGGTTCTAGGCCTGTTCACCCAGTAGAAGACAAAACAACCTCTGTGAGATAGCTGCCATTTTCTCCTTAGTCCACCTCACACCCCTCCATTCTTTGTTTGCAGTTTCTATGCAATGTTAATACATGTATGCAGTAGGTAAGATAGTTTCTCATTATTTTCACAAAGTCTACTTACATGCAACTATGTACATTAACTGGTTGCCGCCTGTTCACAGTACTGTGGGTGGGTGGCAGCTAATACGGGTGGGCAGCAGATACAGGCCAGGCAACATACTAGTACATTTCCCCCTGGGGTGCACAGCAGTGAGATGCCACACCTGTGACCGCTGTGTCCACTGGACAATGCAGATCATGGTGTTCGGTACTTGGCCACTGTGAGTGGCCAGAGTATCATGTGATCACTATGACCAACCATAATGATTGCATGATATCATCTAAGCAGACTGTCATTAATGACTTTCATTCATGAACAGCTTGCTTACTGTTGTAATGTTGTGATTGGCCCACAGCTATCACATGGTACTTGGCATCCTGTACCACATGATTAACTGCAGCCATTCATGGCAGTTTAAACTATTGCTTATACCAGTGATCATTGCTGTTATAAGCAATACCAGTGTGAAAAAAATCTCAGCTCCCCAGAGTAGTACAGTGTCACTGAACTTCTCTGGTGACAGTATGTAAAAAAAAAAAAATATTAAAAAAAGAGAAAATTATGTTTTTATATACTGTCACCAGTCAGTATCCCTGATCACTGCCACATCAGTTAAACAATTATTTAATTTGTTTCATTTTCTAAAAAATTGTGACAGAAATTACAACTTCAAGAAACTCACCATGCCTCCTACTAAATACCTTGGGCTATCTACTTTCCAAAAAGGGACCATTTGGGGGTATTTGTCCTGTCCTGACATTTTAGGGCCCCAAAAAATGAGATGTCAGTACATCGTGATTGATCAATTTCTCTCTCTCTATAACTTTCACACAGACTAAATAATATACACAGATTTTGGTTATTTTTACCAAAGAAATGTAGCAGAATATATTCTGGCCTAAATGTATGAAGAAATATTATTTGTTTCCAAATGTTTATAACAGAAACTAAAAAAAAGGTTTTCTTTTTCAAATTTTTTGTAATTGTTTTTGTTTGTATAGCAAAAAAAAACTGTGATTAAATACCACCAATGATTGATTTGTGTAAAAAAAAAAAAATAATATACATTTAATTTGGGTACAGTATTGCATGACCGGGCAATTGGCAGTTAAAATAGCACAGTGCTGAATAGCAAAAAATTTCCTGCTCATGAAAAATGCCTTGGTCTTGCATTGAAAATGAAAGATAGAAGTTGATTGGTTGCCATGCATAGCTGCTCCAGATTCTGGTTGCTCTGATTTTTATAAATTCCTTCCCATTGTATCTTTTTCTCCTTGCTATATAAAAAAGTCTATGTAAAAGAAAAAAAAAAAAAAGAATAGTTAGTTCAGAGTTGACTTATTTAGCTTCAGCAACAGTGCCAGTGTTTGTGCCAGTGTGTTTAACCACTTCAAGTCCGGACACTTTTACCCCCTTCCTGTCCAGGCCAATATTCAGCTTTCAGCGCTATCACACCTAGAATGACAATTGTGCAGTCATGCAACACTGTACCCATATGCATTTTTAGCATTTTTTGGGACAGATAAAACTTTATTTTGGTGGTATTTATTCACCACTGGGATTTTAAATTTATTTGCTATATAAATGAAAGCCCAAACGTTTTGAAAAAAAGTGTTTTTCTTATAAAATTTTGCAAATAAATAATCTTTCTTTATGAATCTTGGCCAAAATGTATTTGGTTATATTTTTAGTAAAAAAAAAAATAATAACCCACATTAGTTTGTAAGCAAAAATTATAATTTTTCAAAAAAATTTTTACATTTTTATTTTTTATAATTTTTTATTTATGTGTTTTTTTTTTTAAACATACTGTCACCCTAGCAGTACAGTGTCACATTTTTTTTTCTTACACTGATTGCTTTTATATCCATAAAGGCTATACAAGCAATCATTTCTACTTCTCTTTGGCTGCATTCTTGCAGCCATTGAGAAATACTGTGAGAGCTGTGATTGGTCACAGCTTGTCACATGGTACAAGGCTGTTGTGAATAGCCCTGTGTCATGTGACCTCGGTGATCATTCACAGATTTCACTAGTAGTAAACAATGTTAGCAAGTGACATTGATGTTAGCAAGTGACATCTTGCTTACTACTATTCATGTGATTACTGATTGGCCAATCACACTGATTGGGACCTCACACAGAGGTCCCGTACAGCGATCCTCCGGACACAGCGCACAACCTGAAAATGCGGGCGCCGTTTATGAACAGCAACCCGCTCCTGCACTGCTCCTCTCCGGCCATTATGTACATGGGCCGGACAGGAAGTGGTTAAGTAGAACAAACAAAAATGTGCACAATTGTTTCTGGGTCCAAATACAAACAACAAATAGTGTACACATATGTGGTATGAACCTCAGGAATATAAGAATTTAATTTGGGCTGGTCTTTGGTGGTGGTGAAAATATATAGCTAAATATGAAAAAAAAAATTGTTCTATTTTGGGCCAGATTTTCTTTGAGAATACAAAAATCTGAGGATATCCACTACCACTTACAAATTTACAAACAAATGAAGGCCTAATTTGTTCTAAACAAAACAAAGTATATTTCACTTGCAAAGATATTTACAGTTTTACTAACAAAATTGTTTGTTTCTCAACAAAAGTGGTGTTACTCCACTGCTTTCCTGCTGTCCTATAGCAGAAATACTGCTACAGGGTGGCAAGGGTGGCAAATTAACACACATATATATATATATGTGTGATTTTGTATTTCTGGGTAGGGGCCCTACCCGCACTGCCATTGTTGGCCACACCTGTTGATCACTGGGTCCCTGCCAGAGATTTCCTGTCAGCACCTGGCGATCGCCGTGTATCACCAACAGGGGAGAGACATATAAACAATACAGATATCTCCCCTGTCAGCTTTGTATAGCAGAGCTGTCCAGAGCAGTGTGCCTGAGCTGACAGGGAGGAGGACTGTTAGTAAACAAAGCAGTCCTCCTCCCTGTCATGGCTGCGCCCCCTACCTGGAAACACAAAATCATGTATATATACATGATTTTGCGCACCCCTGCCGCCCTGTAGCAGTATATCTGCTATAGGGCGGTCAGGAAGCGGTTAACCACCTCACTTCCGGACACTTCCACCCCCATCCATTCCAGGCCAATTGTCAACTTTCAGCACTGTCACACTTTGAATGACAATTGCTCAGCCATACAACACTGTACCCAAAGGAATTTTTTTACTATTTTTTGAGACAGAGCTTTATTTTGGTGATATTTAATCACCACTTGGTTTTACATTTTTTTTTCTATATAAATGAAAAATTACCAACATTTTTAAAAAAATCACATTTTTCTTAGCTTCTGTTATAAAATTTTGCAAAAAAAAAAATTTTATCTTCATAAATGTAGGCTAAAATGTGTTCTCCTACATAACAATAATCCAAATCAGTGTATATTAGTCTGTGTGAAAGTTATAGTTTAAAAACTATGGTATATACAGTATTTTTAAAAAATGACCAATCCTGATGTATAATGTACTGACTGCTTTTCTAATTTCTTGGGGCCCTAAAATGCTAGGGCAAGACAAATACTCCCAAAACGACCCAATTTGAAAATTAGACAGCCGAAGGTATTTAGTAAGAAGCATGGTGAACTTTTTGTAATTGTAATTTTTTGCCACAATTTTTGGGAAAATTAAGAAATTAAAATACATTTTTTCACAAAGTTATCATTCTAAGTTATTTATCCCTCACAAAATAGGCGTACTTACAATTACACGCCAGAAAAACATTCTGCTATTCCCCCTGAGTATGGGGTTATCATATATGTGAAGACTTTTTTTCACAGCCTAACTGAAAAGAGAGGCCCAAAATCCAAGGAGCACCTTAAGGCATTCTAGGAGCATAAACTAGGCATCTGATTTCCTGACTACCTATCACATTTTTGAACACTCTGGAACACCAGAACAGTAGAAACACCCACACAATTACCACTTTTTGGAAAGAAAACACTCCAATGTATTTTCTAAGAGGCATAGAGATATTTTGGATTTATAATTTTTTTGCCACAAGTTTTTGAAAAATGTGGAAAGAAAATGAAGCTGTTTTTCTTTGTTACACAACATTGTCAGTTAAGAAGATATTTCTAACACACAGCATAGGCATACCTTGAATTACTCTTTAAAACACATGCTGCTACTGCTCCTGAGTATGAAGATACCACATGTGTGAGATTTCACAGCCGAACCACATAGAGAGGTTCAAAATCCAGGGAGCAACTTCAAGCGTTCTGGGGGCATAAATTAGTCATCTAATTTCCTGACTACAGTTTTGGAAGCCCTGGAGCAACAAGACAGTAGAAACACTGACAAAATTACAGCATTTTGGAAAGAGAACACCAAGCCTATTTTGTAAGAGGAATAAAGAGTCTTTGGAAATGTAATCTTTTTGACACAAAGTTATGATGGTGTCACTGGTAAGGTGGTGATCAGGACCCATTGGAATGGTGTAAATCAGGGTACACACTGGTATGGCAGTGATCAGGATGCTGGTGTGGTGGTGATCAGGACACCAGTGCTTGTATAGAGTGGTCTGGCATCACTGCAATCAGGGACATTTTCCCTGGCAGCACTGATGACACTGGGAAAGGTGACGGGTGGCTGGCTGCAGTTTGTTCATACTAGACAGTGTGGGCAGAGATGGATGGAAATTTTTGTGTGTATATAAACTGTGTGCAGAGGCTGCAAATTACTCAGTTAGCTGCAATGGCTTTCTCTCTTCACAGAGGGTGGTGGTAAGCTGGACCCACTGGTGTGGCTGTAATCAGAATACACTAGTAAGGTGGTAATCAGGATGCTGATGTGGCAGAGATCAGGACATGCTGGTGTGACAGAGATCAGGACATGCTGGTGTAACAGATATCAGGACATTCCGGGTTTAGCAGTGATCAGGATACTGGTGTGGCAGAGATCAGGACATGCTGGAGTGGCAGAGATCAGGACATGCTGGAGTGGCAGAGATCAGGACATGCTGGTGTAGCAGTGATCAGGATGCTGGTGTGGCAGAGATCAGGACATTCCGGGTTTAGCAGTGATTAGGATGCTGGTGTGGCAGAGATCAGGACATGCTGGTGTAGCAGTGATCAGGATGCTGGTGTGGCAGAGATCAGGACATTCCGGGTTTAACAGTGATCAGGATGCTGGTGTGGCAGAGATCAGGACATTCCGGGTTTAACAGTGATCAGGATGCTGGTGTGGCAGAGATCAGTACATGCTGGAGTGGCAGAGATCAGAACATGCTGATGTGGCAGAGATCAGGACATGCTGGTGTAGCAGTGATCAGGATGCTGGTGTGGCAGAGATCAGAACATGCTGGTGTAGCAGTGATCAAGATGCTGGTGTGGTGGTGATCAAGACATATTGGTGTGGCAGTGGTCAGAATGCTGATCTGGAGCTGTTCAAGACATTGGTCTGGCAGTGATAAGGACACAGTGGTAAAGTGGTGATCAGGACACACAGCAATGGCAGTGATCACTTCTGTTTACATTGTCACTTTGTCCTGATTGGATACAGTGATCACATGGTACTGGACTAATTTCATTGGCCCTGTACCATGTCATGTGATCAGCTGTGTCCGGACAACACCCTGTTCACCAGGCCAGTGGGTGCATGCTCAAGGAACTGTGCATGAGCCACTGATGTTGGGGGGGCTGTATGGGTATGTCCCGCATCGGTGCACTTTCCATCTGGCTATTTATGTGCTATGACCAGAAAGGAAGTGGTTAAAGAGTTTTCTAGCTAAACCTTTTTCTTTTAGATTCAGTGTGGACACTTTCTAAACCCTTTTAAGATTGTATCTCTGTCTGTGTGCAATTGGAGAAATTTACACTATATATTTGTCCTGGTGACCTTTGTGAAAAGAGTAGAAAGTGGTGGGAAATGTGATGTTTTACAGGAGACAAAAATTGGTGACAACTGTCTAAGAGGGAATTCGGTCTCAGAGACATTTCCCTTCACTATTGTGTCCACAGAACAGGAAGTGAAGAGCAATCTCTCCAATGGGTTGCAGACTGCAAAAAAACAAACAAACAAATAAAACAACAAAAATTATTTATTCTATATGAAGAAAACAATGTTTTGGGCAGAGTTAAAAATGAAAGGGGGGGGGGGGGACTCGTGCTGCCAAACAATAGTCTCAGAAAATTAAGTAGCTGCTAACAGCCGTCTTTACTATAATGTATAACAAACTGATAAGAAAAATGGTGTAGCGCTGTGTGTATACTGTAATATACTTAAACTAAACGGTGAAAATCAATAAAAAAATGTGAATAAAAAAAGTAACTTTAATACGTTTAATTATTGGTGTGACACTGTGTATGATCAATAAAAAAGATGTGAATAAAAACAACTTAATTCAAATATATATGAAGTATGGAGTGTACCATGATTCAAACAGAGAAAAAATGTGAATGCATAAATGTGACATGGAGACACTTAAGTGAAATCAACAGTGACCAAATCATACACCGTGATAATAGCAATATTAAATTATATATCGCAAAGTCCCAAAGATAAATGAAAAGTGCTAGATTTCAAATCTTCAACCATTTATAATTTGCGTGCTCAAAACTTGTGCCAATCGATCTGTTACCATCTGGAGTGTGCGCTCACCTCAAATATTTGACCCTCAAGGAGTATAATGTATCACCGGATGATCCCAGCCAGGATGGATCTCTCCCTCTGGCTGGACACAGGGTCAGCTCCCACCGTAATCAATTACTAAATGGTCAAACACTTCTGTGACCCTGTTTTAAAGTGCGAGTAGCTTTTTGACATTGTGGATTTCCTTAATAAATTAAAAAAAAACTACACTATGGAAGTTCTCTCTTTGACTTCTTTTATATGAACCATTGAAGATTCCCTTAAAAGTGTTTGACCATTTAGTGATTGATTACGGTGGGAGCTAATCTTGTGTCCAGCCAGAGGGAGAGATCCATCCTGTCTGGGATCATCGGGTGATTAGTGATTGATTACGGTGGGAGCTAATCCTGTGTCCAGCCAGAGGGAGAGATCCATCCTGCCTGGGATCATCCGGTGATTAGTGATTGATTACGGTGGGAGCTAATCCTGTGTCCAGCCAGAGGGAGAGATCCATCCTGCCTGGGATCATGCGGTGATACATTATGCTTTATGACTCCTTGAGGGTCAAATATTTGAGGGTGAGCGCACACGCCAGATGGTAACGGATAGATTGGCACAA